AAGACAATGGAATCGTGTGGACACGCACGGCCGGACATAATTCCAATCAGCCGACACTTACTCGCTATGAACACAGTGCAAGTGAACAGAGCCGGCGAGACTCCGAATGTAAGTACTCTGTAGTGGCCGGCCTCTGAGTCGAAAGCACTAGATTCCTGACTTGGAACGAGTCGTAGGAAATCTGGTAGCCACCACCAGATTTCTGACAGTTCTTATCTCTTCGCTCGTAATCGTAACCGGATGACTAATTAACATTAACAGGAACTTCTTTCTACTATTTCCATTAGCAGGAATTTAGCTCTGGTTCCTAGATTTCCTGAAAATCAGCACATGTAATCTGGAATCCTGAGAAGACTGCCGTGCTAAGGACGAACGTCGTATGAACTTTCGAGAGTTGCCAAATTTCCTTCGATAAACTGTTTATTTTTGAGGAAAATTGTGAATATTTTTCCTCGAAATTTTCAGTCGTAAATGATCAAATCACAAACAAAATTATCTGAAAAATTAGTAGAAAAAAATTCAAAAATTTTCCTGAAAATGAGCGATTTGCCAGGGGAAATTTGGCAACGCCTGAAGGCTCTTACGGCGTTTTTCCTCAGCACGGCAGAAGACTACTCGAATGCGTTTCATTCTTCCGCCCCGGCTGTGTTGCGTTATTCCGTAAGGTTATTTTNCTGAGAGTCAAGACAATGCGAATCCATTTCTGATTGGTTAACCGGATTTTAGGCCTTCACAGTGTCACAAACGGGAATAAAGATTACATTTTCACCAATTGCAAAGATTATAATCTGGAATGGACCGAGGAATTTCGGGTTCGACAAGGAACAAACGGAATGAGAGAAGGAACGGAGAAAGGAATTTAAGAATGAGCCGATCAAAGATTACGAAAAACGTTCAATTTGTGTAATCGTTATTCCCGTTTGTGACTCCATGAGGGATGTTGTCTTGACTCTCAGTATAAAGGGACTCTAGTACTGCTATGCTAAGGAAAAACGCTGTATAAGCCCTTAGCCGCTGTCAAATTTCCTCCAATAGAATATGAATTTTTAGGGAAATTTGTGATTTTTTTTTTTATCAAATTTTTCAGGGAATCATACTCGTGATTAGATCTAATTTTTTGGAAAATTTCAAGTAGAAATATCCATGTTACCCCCTTAAAAATGAAAAATTTTCCGGAGGAAATTTACCAACTTTCGAATGTTCATGCGGCGTTCTTCCTTAGCAGGGATGTGTAGAGGTCGGCTTCTGAGTCGAAAGCACTAGATTCCTGACTTGGAATGAGTCTTAGGAAATCTGGTAGCCACTACCAGATTTCTGACAGTTCTCATCTCTTCACTCGTAATCGTAATCGGGTGACTAATTAATTCAGATGTGTGACCCGAACCCTTCGGTTTATGTCGAAGTACTTCAGATGTGTGACCCGAACTTCGACAGCTGGACCTCAAGTTTTCGGATGCGTGGTCCGAAAACTTCAGAGATCCATATGACCTCAACCTCGGGTCTTATGCCCGAAGTGTTTTTCTCAGTGTGGTTGGGGAAACGACGATTTAGCAGAAGACTTCTCGAATGCGTTTCATTCTTCCGCTCCGGCTGTGTTGCGTTATTCCGTGAGGCTATTTTCGAAGATGCTACGGTGGAGCCGGATGCCGTGAGCCACACAAGTTGATGAACAACGCCCCTTGAAAATGGAATCATGCGCGGATGTGCAATTGCACGGCGGCGCGCGGCACGGCAGTGAGAAGACACATGCGACTGCATATGCGCAAAACCGGTCGGGTAATGATGGCGTTTGTTTACTTCTCACCGGTTCACCAGTTCACCACTCGTGCAGTCGAGTGACCTCGACACAGCGACTCGCTTACTATCATCGACCATCGACGAGACGTCCCCTCTCGGTTACTCCATTACGCAAGAAAACCAACCTCAGAAAATACCACACACCTGTCTCGAGGGTGGGGGAACTCAAGGAATTTCTGTAGAGTAATGGAGATTTCCCCGTCGTTGTTACAGGTTTTTTTTTCTCTCGCAGTTTCAAGGATTTAGTTTCATATAATATTTTAGCGACACCCTTTCTTCTAACCCGTCTCCGAGTGTCGTCCAAGTTGTGCGCATCGGTATTCAGTATCCATGCCTCGTGTTTTAATCGAATGTTACGACACACCCTCTTCCCGACCGCCGGTTGGAGCTCACGATCCGAGAGTCAAGAGCCGCCCATTTTTCTCACAATCAGTGCTGCCGTCCTAAGGAAGAACACCGTATGAGCCTTTAGGCATTAACAAATCTCCCTTGACAAATCACGAATTTTCGAGAAATTGGTAAACGTTTTTCTTCTGATTTTTAGAGAAATTTGGTTCGTAATGTGATCCGAAGTGTCTGAAAATTTCAAGGAAATTTTTTTATAAAGCTCTTTAAAATAAATGTTTTTTGAGAGGCAATCGGCAACACTCGAAAGTTGCCAAATCTCCTTTGATAAAACATGTATTTGTGACGACATTCATGCATATTTTTCCTTAAAATTTTCAGATATTTTAGATGAAATTACGTGGAAAATTGTCCCAGTAATTTCGGTTTTTATCGGAAAAAACTTGGCAACGTTTTAAGGCTCATACGGTTGGCAGAGTGGCAGTGCGCCTGTTTTCCGCCGCTAGCATCAATACCTCGTGGCCGTGTGTATGTAGCTTACCACAGCCAACAATATCCATTTAAACTTTTAATTGAAAATGAACATCTTGTTTCCAACCCTTCAAAGTATATTTTCGTGTAATAAGAACTGAGTCTTAACCGGCCCTGAACCCTTGGGAAATGGGTAAAAGGCAAGAAATTGAGATATGATGTTTCTTGAGGTCCTTTCGGAAGTTTCTAGTTCAAAATAAGCAAAAGAGATGAGTATGAATTTTGAAGTTTCAGCAGCGGAAGCTCCTTTAAATTTTGTCATGAAAATTTTAAAGAGAAACTGATTTCCAAAAGTTGGTCATCGATGCTCTATTTCGTAAACGCGACAGAATACACTGATTGCTTTCAAGAGGAATCGTTGACCCATCGCGATGTAGCGACGCTTAATATAATTACCGTCGCTTGCACCCCCCTCCTCCCTCTACACCACAGTTCACACCAACGCAGGCCCCTCGGGGAAATTTACGATATTTTCAACGGGGGAAAAAAGCGCTACAAACGTGCCATTAATCCCAAATCGATGGTAAACGCCGCGGAAACAGGCCACTGGACAAGGAGAGAATTAGACACTGAAAGAATTAAGCTGTGGTTAGAACCTAATTTTTGGAGTCAACCACAGTTTATTAGATGTAACGACCATTTCAAATTTAACGGAACTTGACCTAACTTCGAGTTGCGACTGGTCGCGGCTGAATCCGAAAAAATTGAAGTCCGCAGCGATAATTTCTTGAGTAGGCATGGCCAATTCTTCCAACAATTAGACTATGACAACTATATATAGCTATAATAAAATAGCGGAACATTCTCGCCCTCAGTTTTGCACTGATTCTCATACAAGATCAAATTTATGACTATACTTGAAATTTTTGGAATATTTCGGCCGTGAATTCCCGACAGAATAGTGTGAACCTAGCACTATTCTGCAACCTTGTTACTTAAAAATTATTTAGGGCATTTTAGTTAACTTTCGTGTTTAAAAAGAGCGCAAAGTTTCATTTCAGTTCGGTAATTTACAGGGCCGGATTTACCTACTTGCCGCCCATGAGCCGCCTGTGTTTTGCCGCCCCCTTCTCAATCGTTTTGAAACATCAATAAAAACCATCATGTGAACGTGCCAGCAGGGGAGGGGTGCATAAGACGCGTTTACCCGTGTTGGACACTTTTTTGCGCAAGCCCTGTCATTATTACCAGCAAAAGTTCACGGAACTTTGCGCGTAAGTTAAGTTCCGTAAACCTATCTCTGTGTGGACCATGCCTTCCATTTCTAAGAAATAAACGAAAATATTATGAAAGAACAAACATAAATGTGGTTTAATGGTTTTAACCTCCGCCGCGCCGCTCAGACCACACTGTGTTTGGCGCAATGCGTGAAGTATTCCGATAGTTTTGTAGGGACTATGCTTTTCACGCCAACCGCTGCTGAATGCACTGTGTTTGACGCAATGCGTGAAGTATTCACGCAGTCTTGTAGGCGCTATGCGTTTCGCGCTGACCACACTGTGTTTTGCGCAATGCGTGAAGTATTCATGCAGTCGTGTAGGCGCTAATATGTGTTACATGCTGACCGCCGCGCTGGGGGCTTCTCCTTTTCATCTTTAGTCCTTGTCATGAATTCTCTCTAAAGCCGCGCCGTTCCAGGCCAAATTGCGTGTTTGGTTTCCCTCTTAACTCGAATAATTAAAGATGCTGTCTCTTGTATTTTGAAAGACTACAAAATTAGAAATTACTATACTCTCAGGAAATGAGAGATTTTGTCGCCTTTTTTCGTCATTAATTTTTTTCTAAATCAGATTTTTTTTTATACCTACTTGTAAAAAAATTACAAAATTTGCCGTCTCCTAGATTTTCCGCCATGGGCCGCGGCCTATGTGGCCACCCCCTAAATCCGGCCCTGGTATTTTAGTAGTCTGGATATGGCAGATCATAGTTTTAGATTGCTTTTTCTCGTTTGTTTGTGTTTTGAAATGCGAACATTAAACCGCCGCAACTCGAGTTTGATTTGAGTCCGAAATTTTTGGGCGTTTTATGTCTCGGAATGTCCCTTAAATAATTTTTTCATGTTCTGACGTAAATCTCCCAATTCTGAACGTTTGTGGATTGTAGCCCCTTTTCTAGTGGACGGTCACAATTTATATAGTGTTTATTTATAATTATTATTGTGGATACTATATCACCATACTAGATATATATATCACTATACTGGATATATATTACTATACTGGATATATATTACTATAAAATACTATATCAATGTATAATATAATTTTATCACTATGAGCAATTAATAAATACTTAACCGAGGAAAATCACTTTGTTTTCTGTTTCAGTCTTAGCGAATGTTACTTTGCGGGCAAAGGGACGGCAGTTGTCATGCCGCCAAGCGAACGACTCGCCCAACAACCCTCCGAACTCAGGGGTCGGGGTTCAGACATTCAACAACATCTCCAGTCTATGTTCTATCTACTCAGGCCCGAGGAAACGCTAAAAATGGTAAATATTACTTTCGTAAATGTTTTCAATGTTCCCCTATTATTCCTATGTTTCGTCGAGTAAAGAAATTTCTATGTTTTCAAAGGTTTTTTCTCATCGGTCTACTGTTTCAGTGACACTTATGCGCTTTAAAAATATTAAAATGTTTTAATCGTTTTACAAACATTTTTTAAAAGTTGTAAGTCATGGAATGCTTTTAAAGTTTTTCATGTCCTCTTTTAATGATTTATAAAACATTTTTAAAAGCTTTCTTAAATTATCAACGTAATGTTTATGAATATGGTCATGAAATACATTTTGGAATCAGGATCTCCAATATGTTGCTCAGTTTATTATAACAACGTATGAATCATTCGTTTCCCAATGCCTATAAGTTTTTTTACGGATGTAGTCGCAGAATACACATAGTGTAGCCCCTAATCGCAAAATATAGTTCAAATATTCTTTCTGATTTTAAAATTTTTGTTGACCATAGATTTAATAAGAAACATTTGTTTTTTAAATCTTAAATGGGGTTTTTCAAAATCATGAATGTCCCAAGTGCTTTCTAAAATGGCTTGAAATCATATTCCAATTATTTCTTCAAAATGTGTCTCTTATGTTTCAAAATGAGCGTATTGAAAGGAAACTTATTTTTCGGTATGCTATAGTGCTAGGGCACATTAATGTGGCAACAGAGCAAGGAGAATCCCTGTAGTGCCAATATCTTCCGCGCTTCCGCTTGGTCTTCAGTCGCGCGTAAAATTGACGAATCTCCGCGTAAATTGCCGGCTTCAGATATTTCCCCGATCAAAGCTATAGCGAAGAATCGATTGTTAAGATGCTCATTGCAAGCTCTCCGATAATCGATCCTTTTTCATAGTTTTCAATGACATATCAATCGACTAATCGCATATCACAACACGCCATTGGTAAATTACTCTCCGGTTTTTGAATAATGAGCTTTCCCGTTTTTATCGATGCCACATTCACTCCCTCTTCAGATGGGCGTTCATTATGCACCTATACTTCCGTTGCGAAAAATCCACTGTTTATTCCGATGAATATGCAAGGCGTGCATCAGTAGGACATCGTGATCACGGTTACCTTTCGTTTTTTCTCTCCTAAATAGGTCGGTTGCGCTAGTCATACAATCGTTTTTTGTTGGTATCAGATTATGGATGAACCAAAAATACTAATACCTCCAATGATTTCCTCTACCCCGGTTTCCGCGTTTTTAGTCGAGCAATCACTGCAAATGTATGTATCTTAAATTGATGAACCCAACGCGAAAAAACCATGGTATGCACTACCGCATGGTGTGATCGATTATCAGGTGTTGGCAACAAACACTTCAATAATCGATTCTTAATATAGTTTCGAATGGTAAAATATCGATGGCTGATGATTTAGGCTACGCCACTGGTAGGACACATCGTCCAGGTATAAATAACTGTGCAAAATTAAACACGCGTTGGGCTGTCGAATTCTCAACCTCGTTGATCGAAACAGGGTAGCGCCAGTCATTTCACACTCGCGTGTAAGTGGCCAACTTTCAGGGCAATTGTTTAAAGTTCAAATATTTTGCTGCGTACACGAGTCCAGATGTGCGCATGTACTGCCGTCCTACGGAAAAACCACGCATGAACGTTCGCAAGTTGCCGAATTTCCTTTTATCAAGCATGTACAGGGTGTCTACAAGTCCGGAATTCCCGGAAAGTCCGGAAATAGTACTGATTTTTAAGGGCGGTTTGGAAGTACTGAAAAAGTGCGGAAATTCCGCAAAGAGGTCCGGATTTTTTTAAAAATTTTTTGTAATTTTTGTCGCAATTTTAAATTTTTGAAATTTTTCTAATTTTGTAAAATGGAGGTACTGAAAAAGTACGGAATTTTTCTGTTTGAGGAGGTACTGAATTTCTCGAGAATATACTGAAAAAGTACTGTAAAAGTACTTATTTTGGACCAGCCTGTTTTAGTAGACACCCTGGTATATGAATTCTTGGGGAAACTTGTCAATACTCTCCTCCAGTTTTTCAGAGGATTCCCAGACAAGCTAATCTGATGTAGCTAACATTTCAAAGGGAAAATATTCATAACTGCATGCAAATTCAAAAGTAAATATTTTTTACAAGAAATTACGCGACATCCGAACGCACGTACGGTTTTCTGCATTAGCACGACAGTGCACGATTTACAGACATCGGACGTGCCTTCGCGCATCGCCAACGTGGAGCATCGTCGTCCATCGATATTTTCCCATTTGAAGCTATGGCAAAGAATCGATTATTTCGGAATACTCTGATAATCGATCCTTTTCCATAGGTTTAAATGACAGATCAATCGATTCATCGCGAGGCACGACACGTACTCTCCTCTCGGTCGGGAGGAAGAGCTTTACAATTTTCTGAGAATTTATTTAGTGTGCGCTATTGTGGACAGAGATTAGCGATAACTGCAACAACGAAGTTACGTTCCGTACTTGTTGCTATAGCTATGGATCATAACTTTGTTTCATAAGCCTGGAAGGATCTTGTTGCGTACCCTAGAACATGCGCGTTCTCCGGAGAAGGCGCATTTCATGCCAAAAGAAGAAACCGGTCTTTGGTCCGAGCGGAAGATTCCTGGATTTTACTCCTGTGCTCGAGATCGGATCGACCCCTCCTCCGCCTATGAATGATCTGCAAAAACTATACAGCATATGTTTTTGAGATCTACAATGCCAGGTGTACAAGAAAATCCTTTGGGGCTAAAATCAGTCGCGGTTTCATCCTCAAACTTTCCTCACCCCGCACTGAGAAAGAAAGCATCGTGGATACAGAGTTCCTACTCTTGAAAAAGTTGACGAAGAAGAATATTCTGGATTCAGTCGGATTTTTGCTTGAATCGAGAGCAAAGCTTCTTAATTTAAGCGGATTTTCCTCTGATGTAAGCAAAAATCCAATCGAATCAAGAGTATTCATTCTTGTTAAATTTTTTTTTAGAGTCTGGACTGTGGACCCAGAAGACTTTTTTTCCAGTGTGCAAAAACTTTAAGGGCCGTTCATAAACACGTAGCCCTCTAGGGGGGAGTGGGGATTAAGGAGAGCTTTACGTCAGCTTGTTTTTACGTGTTATAGGGAAGAGATCTACGTCACAAAAGCTTCACGATGCGGGAAGGAAGGGGAGGGGGTTGGAAAATTCGCAATTTAGCGTTAAGGACTCTAGAAAGCCCCTCAAACGTATGCGTCAAGCGGAATGTAAAAATGTGTTCCGCATGGGACTGCATTTTGCAATTAAGAACTACAATTTCCGGCTCATTTTAGGAACAACATATGTACCATTAGTTTCCGTATACACATAATTGTTTTTAAGGATAAGCCAGAAAGTGTAGTTCCTAATCGCAAAATGTAGTCCAGTTAATTCACGCTGCACTGTGACACTTAATTTCCTACGCTCGATCTGGTGGTCCATTAAACTATCTTTCTCCGCGTATGAAATATTTTCAATTTTTTATTTTTTTAAGTTTTGGTCTATTATCTTGTTGTTAATTTGTGTTTTTGTGTGTGTTCAGGCTGTGAAATTGGAGAGTGCTCACCCGGGGCGGACGCGTTACCTGGTGGTGGTGTCGTGCAACGGGCGGCAGGACTCGGAGGAGAGCTGTTTGCTCGGCATCGACTGCAACCAGCGCACCACCGTTGGTCTCGTCTTACGGGTCCTCGCCGACACCGCTATCACTCTCGACGGCGACGGGTAAGATCCCCTCTCTTTCCACCCCTTTCATTTCTTCCCTTTTTTTATTCTTTCACAGGAGCAAACTGGGTTTTTAGTTGTTTGAAACATCTTGAGAATCCAGAGAGCATCATGTGATGCGTCAGTTGTGCTAGTCACAGAATCCTTCTCGGATACCACCATGCTGTAATAGAGGCTTCTTGAAACCTCCCTTATTCACAGATTTCATCAGAATCATGGGGTCTCATGGCTGATTATTGGAAGTGATAGACAAAGCAGTAGACAACAGCGTGTCTACAAATCCGTAATTTTCGGAAAGTCGGAAAATAATACTTATTTCTTACGGGCGGTCCGGAAGTACCAAAAAAGTGTGGAAATTCCGAAAGAATGTCCAGAATTTTGGTCATTTCTGTCGCCGAATCTGATTAGATGACTATTTGCGTGCTCCTGTAAATGTGTCGCCAATCGAAACTTACAAAAACCTTACGGATTCGAAAAAGAAATAAAAGCTGATGATTAACCAAAAATCGAAGTTTACTTAGCCGCGACATTTAATCGTGCGAACGATTTTTCGGCCTTTCAGTTTTAACTGAGAGAAGAGGCTCAGAAGCGAGAGGTTTACGAAATAAGTTTCCTCCTTCTCTAAACGGAGCAACTCCCTTTTTCGTACAAAATAACCGAAACGAGCTCATCTCTTGTCAGAAAGTTTTCGGTCTTAATAGCCACATCTGAAAATGTTATTATTCCAAGCGACGTCAATTATATGTTGTCCGCTGTCGCATTTTCCCATCCTCTGTCGTTCCTCGTCCTCTCAGCGCCACGAATTTATTTTTAAACCCTTCGTCTGCTCGTAACGTTAAATTTCCTTGAGCTGATAAAATATTGACAATTTTTTCGGCGGGAATAGCTTTTTCCTCTCTTTATTGGAAGGGTTCCACATTTTTCTCCCGAAATTCCGGGATTCTCCCTTCCTTATCCCCCATCCGTAGGCTTTTCAGCGTCTGCGAGTCAACAAAGATGCGTTTCCGTGGCGGGAGCGCTGAAAAAATCATAACCGTTTTAGCCTCGCTGGAAGGGAAATAAACTTCGGGCGTTGTCTTGAACTTGGAACGCTAGTAAATATTTCAACCACAACAAATTTCAGACATTCGCATTCATTCTGCGTCAAGTTTCTAAGTGATAAAGAGCTCTTCAGCTCTCTTCTTTCTCGGTTTATTTTTGTGACGTTTCAGCAGGATAGAAAAATGTTAAGTTCAGGCAAGTACGAGAATATTGTATGCTTGCTTTCCATCTTGGAATGCCCCCTCCTTTTCCTCGTATGAGCGTCACTCTTCATTTTTCTGATCGCGCAATTCATTTTTCTTTAATAACACTTGCTTGGTTTCTCACTAGGGTGTCTAGCGACCGGGATAACCGGTAGCACCAAAAAATGTCAGGGAAAACCTCAGGGAATCTGCAAAAATTCAGCATGTCAGGGAATTTCATTTTGCAAGCTATTTCGTGTCAGGAAAATCGAAAATGCGGATTTTCCGAAAAAATTTTCGCGAATTTTACTCTTGCGGAAATTTCTACCAGAATCTCTGCTGCTGTTTTCTAAATTTTAAAAATGAGGCAAAAATATCTCGCATAAGTTAAGGCGTCATACAGTTTGCTCTATTATTTACATTATATTCCTAAAACATTAAAAAAATTCTTACTTACATCTAATCAGTTCGACCGTGTCGAAAAATTAGGAATATTTTTCCTTTTTGTCAGGGAAATGTCAGGGAATTACTTTTTCGCCTGTCAGGGAATTTTAAATTTTTCCTCAGTTTTTTTGCCGTTTTCACCAGGGAAATTTCAGGGAATTTTCTCTTTAAAAATTGTTCGACACCCTGCTTACTAAAACTCGCCACAATGATCAATAATCTAGGACACCTATCGCAAAATCGCGCGTAACACTCTGATACTTCCTATAAAAAGACGGTCGATACAATTCCTGAGTATTCCTAGTTTTTACCATTACGAGGTCCCTTCAGAAATCGAGATCTCATTTCAATCACAGTCAATAATCGGATGATTGCCAAAATTCTTATGAGTCTATTAAATTTTAGCCTCAGTAGCTGCAGCTTGATCGGTGAGTTTATTTCTGTTTATTTGCCGGCAAGATTAGACAAGACGTAGCCCAGTTTGTGCCGTGTGATATATCGATTTTCGATGTCGGGTCGCGCCATAAATTTCAACGATCTGACCGCAGTGCTTACCGGCTGTGTTGCTCACGTCGTCTTTGAAGCAACACCGTAAAAAAAGACAAACGGAACCAGCCCAACATGGAAATAGAGCTGGGGAAAGGAATCGTGTTGATTACGGCGCAGAGATACAACTATTCGTGCTTGACGGATGTCCGTGATGCATCTGGAAAATTGAAGGCGCGATGGCGCGAGCGTGAACTCGCAATGCTCCGCTCTATGCTGCCCATGAGTTGTCGCTCAGATTCGGGAGAAAAGATAATAATCGAGTTATACGTCTCTTCTATCTTCGGCTATGTTGACACTCCATTTATGTTTCTACTTTTCCCAGGAATTAATTGATCTTTTTGTAATCAATTCCTATCCTCACATAATGACCTTTCTTTCACTGTTCTTTTGTCTCAAATTGTTTCTCTCTTTTTTTTACACGAATGTGAACGCTCCATATCATTTATAGCGGAAAGACCATCCTCTTCATGAAGAAATTTAAGGGAATGAAGTAGCTTGGCATACTAGCTCAACAAACCTATAAAAATCATATTGTTAGGTGTAGGACCAAAATACACTATTTTGCGTAAATATTTAACTTCGAGAACATGTAAACATAAGCCGAATATTTATTTTTAACTACTCAAATATCTCAACGCTGAAGACATCGCACATCTTTAGTCACATTTTTACTCTATTATTTCACGGGGGAAACTCGGTTATTGCCATTTTCTGGAAGATTTTATTAGTTCTCCTTTCAGAGCGTTTTCTGATTTCATGCGAACCAATATCTATGATTTTTAACCATACCATTTATGAGGGAGGAGTAATAAATGTTCTAAAACTTAATTTTTTTCGAAATTCCTCTATTCTTCAGAAAAAAACCGCATAGATTAACACTTTTCAAACAAGTTTAAAACAAAAATCATTGCCTGTGTAAAAACTCGTAAATGAGATTCCCTATTCGTTCGGATTTGCAACATCTAAGGGGAAGGTGAAAGGACGCTGCATCAGTGAGCTTTTTCTTCTTCTTTGATTTTAAACATTTTTATAACTGAGTATACTTTGTTGATAAAAGGCTCTAATACAAGAGTCCGTTCCGCGTATCGTCGACTCTTTTTGCGTTGAAGAAGCGGACTTTACGACTTGAGCTGATTGTCCGGTCTACGAGTTCTTCACGAAGAAATACGTAACAAGCGTTGCCAGAGTTCTGCAAAAATCACAGATGCATTTGTACTGTTTGAAAACGGTAATGATTCAACCACAACAAATGATTCAAAAATAGTTGATATTCTGTAATTTATACGAGTGTGAGAATAGTTTTTCTCCTTCTGAACTTAAATGTTTCTTATTCAGACTGAATGTCGGTGATTTTGCCAACCTTCTTTAAAATTCAATACACATCTGAAATTCTCATTACTGAGGGAAAAAGCTCATTCGACCTTCCGCGCAGGGAAAAACGCTGTTTGGCACATTACTGCTTTTCTTTGTTAACATATAATCCCGGGTTTTTTCCCTCGGAGAATTAGGGGGACGCCTGCAGGGAAAAACCTTGAATTTACCAGACTATTTTTTTGAACATTCAAGTTCTTGAATGTGTTTAAAGTTGAGAAAATCGCATAATGGTACTTTTAAAATTATTGAACTTCATGCTCAACCAAGGAGAGTTGTTTGTTGTTTGTTGTTATTTGGAGAGTCTTCCAACACTTTTTCGGTCGACATATAGTTGAGCGTATATTTTTTATCTTTAACTAAAGGGTTCGTCACGATCAGGATGAGTGATTTTTTGGAGAATTGATGTATCTGCAATCGAGAAGAGTAATCTCAAAGGTTTACGAAACATTTTGTCTTGCGCCAAGACCATACCTTCCTCCGAGACTTCTAGCCTTATTCCTTCTTTTATTTTTATTTTTATTTTATTTATATCTGTCTAAATCTCAGAAAATGTCACTCAACATTCCCTGTTTTCATCGGATCCCACCTCTCTCTCTCTCGGCAACAGTGGACGTGTAATTTTGCGAGCGTCTCGCTTTATTTATGTAGTGTTTCATAAGCTAAAATCTAGGTTCTCCGCTCTTTTTTATGGCGATGAGATGTTATTAAACCCCATATGGGCCGTTTGTGTTGAATTTTCCGCGGCATTTAATTGCTCGATTATCGTGACTCTGTGTTTAATTCTATGTCTCGTTTTTCTTGCAGAGGTTTCAGCGTCAGCGTCTGCGGCCGACAGCATATCTTCAAACCCGTTTCTGTTCAGGCCATGTGGTGAGTTTCACTCGTGTTTTTATCTTCTTCCTTTTATTACAGTTTAATTTTGATTACCAGGTGCCAAATTTATCCAACTCATGGTTTGAAACGTCCGTATTTACGCTGAAAGGAACTGTAAGCATAAAATTTGCGTGCAACACGGTTTCTTTTCAGCGTAGACACGTCCAAAATGATCTCCTATCTCTCTTCATAGAGTCGAGTTTCCAGGGTGTCTACGAGTCCGGAAGTAGTACTGATTTTTTAAGAGCGGTCCGGAAGTACTGAAAAAGGGTTTCAGGACATTTTGTCATCGAATTTTTGTCCGCGCACCTTTTTTGTCCAGTAGCGTGCGCCCACACGTAAAATAAGCACCAGTGACTTGGTCCAAGCGTTATATTTTAGTCGGTATGTAAAATTATATTGACAATATGGAAATGAGAAATTGAGAGCGAAGGAGGTGTTGTTATGGTTGCTCATTTTCCAAATGAAATGTTATTACTTTCTCCTTTTGAATCATCTTTTTAAATTGTCATTGGTGAATATTTGGTTTCATTTCTATCCTTAAAATATTCGATGTACAATATACATTGTTTATGTATAGGTACTTTTTTCTTATTTTTTTAATTTCTTCTTCACGAAATTATTACTTCATTTTGAAAACATTTATATTTTTAAAACGTGACAGATATTTCTAAAACCTTTTCCAAGCGACATTAATCTCAATAAGCCGCAGTTGTGCCGACAGAAACTGCAAACATGAATAAAAGAGGGGAAAAAACCAAGAAGCACGCAATCTTTAGTTTTAACCCATTTGTACATCGATCTTTCAGAGTCAAATACGTCAAATTTTGAGCGTTTCGTTGCGCGTACACCTCGCTGCAGCACAATAAAAGCACAAAATGTAAAAGGAAAAATTAAAGTGCTTTGGAAATCATTAAATTTGACACGGAACCACCAATATTTAAAAAACACAACATTATATTATTATTCTCCTTTGATAAATTGATACATATTTTTTCCCATCAATGTAAATGAGAATAATCAATGCAGAGTATGCAAACATTTCAAAATCCTGAGTTAAAAAACATTGACTATGTGAGTATAAACATTAAAGCCTAACAGAGCGGAGCGGCGTGCTGCCAGCGCGAGAGGCTCACTGTCGCCTACAAACCTAAGTGGATACTTCACGCATTGCACAATGCTTGAAGTATCCACTTAGGTTTATAGGCGCCAATGCGCGTTTCGCGCTGGCCGCCCGCCCGCCGTGCGGCGGCGCCTGAAACGACTATTTCACAACAGAGATGTTGCACAGTATTATTTTAAAAGTACAGATCTTTCCTCGCAACATAAATCAGGATACTTATAGTACACTGGAAAAATCTAAGAGCCTTTAGCTGAGGCAAATATAGAGGTTTATCCGGTGCAGGTATAACAAGGTGGGAAAATCTTGAAAGATAATTGAGTCCTGTTACACCAAAGAGGTGTAGAGGTTTCTAGTGAATTTTGTCTGATGAAATTGACGCTCTCCCATTTTTACCAAAACTCTCAGCTACATATTATTCTCCGTTGGACCAAACAAACAAAACAAAAAACAAGCAAACCCTCATTCTTCCAAGACATTTTACATTTTCATCCAAAAACGTCGTGAGCAATTGTCTTTTGTATTTACATGTGGGCCAATTAACTTTGGGTCTCAACTGGCACGTGGACCAAAACTCCCGTGCCAAAAAAAACGCGTGGACGTAAATTACTGGAAAAACAGGTGCGCGGACAAAAAATCGTTGACGAAATGTCCTATCACCCTGGAAAAGTACGGAAATTCTGTATGATGGTCTGGAATTTTTTCATTTTTTGTCATTTTTGTCGCATTTTGAGCGAGAAATTCAAATTTTTGAAATTCATCGAATTTCGTTAATTGAAGTCGATACTGAAATGGACCGAATTTTTCTATTGAGGAGGTTCTGAATTTCTTGGGAATGCACCGAAAAGTACTGTAAAAGTATTGATTTTTGGTCAGCCTGTTACAGTAGACGCCCTGGTTGAGTTTCAAAATGAATTCTTGAATATAATTTTTATTAACGCCCTCGTTATGAAACTTATTGTATCCGGACGAAATGCCGTTTTGCGTACGTATTTGTAAAGGGTGAACTGGGAATTCTTAGGAAAAATCGCAGGTGTAAGATCACTTGACTGAGTGAAAATGAAAACATCGCAAAAATGTTTGAGCACTAAGAATTCATACGAAATGCAGTGGGTCCTCAAGAAATCTCAATAGTCAACTCGTGAACAGAAGATATTTTTTATTTTTCACATTGAAATTTGTGAAACTTCTATCTCGGCCTCTCGCGGATAAAACTCCGCACACCGAGGAAGTCGATACCTTGTTAGGCACACCAAAATCAAGAAATTGACCAATTCACTTCAAGTAGGTGTTAGGTTTTTAGTGAACGGAAATATTATAAAAAGCTATTTTCGCCTGTGCAAGTTAATTTGTGATGTGTTCACTATGTTCTACGTAAAATTTCAATCAGAAATATGTATTAGGATACTGTATTTCATTCCTACTCATGCATCTCTACAAACGTGGAAAACATACCGCTATCGAATCGCATCGACCCTCCTCTGACGTGAGGGTGCGTATGTCAATTTCTACATGAGCCTCGAAAAGCATGGATTTATATGCAAAACAGGGCTCACGTGGAAATCGAGATACGCCCTTATGTCAGAGGAGTGACGTTATGTCATAAAGACGGAGAAAAAAGAAGTGTCTCTCTTTCAATGCCTGTTCAAATCTCACCTAATTTCCTAGTCGTAGTAAGACTATTAAATTATTAAATGTTTGGAAACATCACTGAAAAAAAACAAAAAAAAAACACATTGGATCTAGAGTCCAGACTCTTGAAAACATTGAGAAGAAAAAAGACACTTGATTCAAGCAGAGTTAAGCTTATAAATCATTTTTTTTTTTTTATAAATCAAAAGGAAAACATCTCAAATTAAGAGGCTTGGTTCTTGATTTAAGCCTAAATCCGATTGAATCAAGAGTATTTTTTCTTGTCGACGTTTTAAAGAGTCTGAACTCTAGATCCAATGTGTTTTTTTCCAGTGATTCATTTTGGTCTCGGTAACAATGCAACATCGTAACCGGGATTAAACTACTTGCTACCACAAAAGTAACTTTGTGACCGCGACATGAAAAGTAGGTAGGACCTAGAGTCTAATCCGAACATTGTAAGAGCAACGATTCATTTATCTCCGTTAATGCAGGAAGAAAGCACTCGTTTAGCGGACCTTTTATTTATTTGTTTTTTTAAATTCAAACATATATTGATTCGACCCTCGTGTCGCGGGTCTATACATCCAGATACTGCCAAAGGTCTAATGATAACCTGACAGAACGTTCGCTCCACGATTGGCGGGCCGCGCTGCTTTCTTCTCATAATAAGCCAATCAAAGTGGACTTCGAGAGTGTTGTCCCATCTACCCTGCCAATTGCGAATCGTATTTCAAAACGAACGTCGCAAAGGACGGTATTAATAATAATTTGGCGACGGGGACGGAGCGGTGGGGGGGGGGGGACGTCCGAAGAACTGCGGTCAGTAAAAGCAGCGCTAAGAAATAGGCGTTCATTAAAATAATGCGAAACGTATGCCGGACCCCGAGAGAAAGAGACCGGAGAGATATTGGCAGCTTGCCGAACAACCAGGAAGTAACACTGTTGTACGACTGTCCTTGTCTCTTCGATGTCTGTCTTTGTCTGCTACGAATTGGAAAGAGAAACCTCTAGGACTCGTCTTCGTCTCAGTCGAGCTTTTATCCGTCATTGGATCCCCTCCCGTTTTTGAATTCTATAATGCTGAGTCACTTACTAAAATATTATTTAAATTGAGTGCATTTTGCACTAAATTACTATGCGCATTAGAAGCGGAAAGTTAATCAGAGTTGGCACAGTATAGCCCTGTGTCCACTCGTCAAAATGGCGTCAAAATGGAAGCTCAGAGTGAATCGATAGATACGATCTGTTCGCGATTGTTGATCAAAAAAGAGTCACGCCGCTCTATTTTGAGTTGCAACACTCATCAATCGCATCAAATCCCGACTTTGAGCCACTTATCGTTGAAATCGATTCACTTTGAGCTTCCATTTTGAAGTCATTTGACGGGTGGAGACAGCGCTAGTCAGGGTTAACCGAGAAATGTCAAGGAATTTTGAAAACTCAGGGAAAATGACGAAAATGTCAGAGAAAAATCACCTTCGTTTGCTTTCTCGAGTGGGTTTGACGTCTCGAACAACAAATTTTGCCTGAGAAATATCTTTAACTGTGTCTTTTTAACAATCTGGCATATGTTCAATTGTCAGGGAATTTTTCCAAAATGTGTCCTGGAAATCAGGGAAATGTCTCGGAATTTAATTTTCGAAATTCTAAGCAAACCTTGGTTAATAATCTGCTATCGATGTTTTTCCATTAGAAGGTCTGGTGAAGATTCGATTGCTAAGGTGTTCGTTTCGAACAATCCGATGATCGATTATTTTTCATAGATTTAAATGGCAGGTCAATCGACTCATGATGAAGTACAACGCGTTACTTATTACTAGCGTCGCAACGCTGCTAAGATCATACGACCGCTTTCCGCGGAAGTAATTACTGAAAAAACCAGTTTCTATTTTTGCACCAATAAATATTAAGTAATCGAGAAAACTATCCTTTTGAATTTTTCTGTCGAGAAGGAACTGAATTTCTTGGGAATATACTGAATAAATACTGTGGAAGTGCTGATTTTTGGCCGGCCTGTTTAAGTAGACACCCTGATATTATGCGTCTTGAGGCTAAGGCTCTAATTGTTGTGAGGTGTTGATTGAATTGTTTTTGATACTTGCCGCGGAAATGTCGGCGTCGTGTGCGACAGCTTTAGTCACGTATTTCTCTTTGTTTATTGCCGTGATTGCATTCATCGCTGGCGATCTAGGTTTTCGCGGTGTCATGAAGAAAGTGTTGCCCCGTTTTTGTTCTCGCGTGCCCCATTCTCGGATGATTCACGCGAATAAACGAGTCTCATCGAGTCAAGGAACTAAACCTCGAGCAGAGCCAAATGTGCTTCATTTTTAGCCGTAAATCAACTAAGGCGCGGTTCAACAACTTCAGGCGCTTGACCTTGGCTTTGAAGAAGAAAAAACATCTGTCTTCATGCCATCCTTTACATTTTCATTCTTTCCTCTGTCCCAGCAAAACAATTTAATCAACTAAGAAATCCACGATATTTAATTTCAATTTGAAGCAAGGCCAGAACGCCAAAACAAGAAAAAGTCAGAAAAATTATGTGAAAGCTGAAGTTACTGGACCACGAAGGAGAACTTTAAGCCTGAATTCAAACCCAGTCGTGTCTGACCCTTACCATCTACTCCCGACAAATTTTTTAGTCCGATGTATGTATTTCAACATGTTTTTATCGCATTGTAAAGATCAGTTTGGGTTCCGTCATAATTCCTTTTTGTGGTTCAAACTGTCCTACTGTTTTTGAACTGTGCCCAAAAATTTTGGTCCCCTTTTGATGAAATAGATCAAACCGGGAATAGAAAAATTCAACTCATTTTGGGTGTAAATCTTGTACTTGATCGATTTTTAAAAGGCTAGCCCTCCTTTTTGCTCTATATACCGACGATCACGCAGTTGGTCTTTAGCTTAGGCTTCAGGTTTTGATGATCTCTCAGGAGCACTTTCAAATCTTAAATTAACTTAAAATCATAAGAGTAACGCATAACGCTTAACGCCAAAGGCGTGAAGCGCTTTGGGGGGTTGGACTGCAAAGTGGTTAGGGGGCGTAGTCTCACTCAGTGAACCGCCTGCAAAAAAGCTTCATTTCATGTACATGTTTCCCAAGCGTGGAAATGTGCATCTTACCATCGAAGACTGAAGCTGGATTGCTTCGCGAGTGATGACGTAACGATAGCTTTGTTTGAAATCGGATGTCCCGAAAAAATTCAACGAAGGAGCCAATTTCGAGTGATGACCTTTTCTTCAGTTCATTACCTCTCTCTTTTTCGCTCCCGCTTCCCCTCTCGATCTCCATGCCTCCTGTCAGCAGACCCGATGAAATGTGCCAAAAAAGGGGATTCCTTCTCCCTCCCGAAGAAAATAAGCGGTTTTGAAATTTCAAAACTTTGGCTTGCCCAGTTGCCAGCGATCCCGGTCGCGCCCCGTGAACTTTCGTCGCAAGTTTTACTTATCGCCGTGCTGCCACTAGTGGCCGTTAACTTGTCCGAACTGTGCGTTGCCCAGAACCTAAAAATAGTCAGAATGTTCTGAAGGAACGAAAACGCCTCGGATTCAGTGACGTGGCGCGAATGATCGATTATCGATTTTTCCCCATTTGAAGCTATTGTAAAGAATCGATTATCAAGGTGTTCACCGCGAACACCCCATTTATCGATCAATTTCCATAGGTTTGAATGGTAGATCAATCGATTTATCACAAAGCATGCCACGCCTCTGATCTCTTGTTTCCTTCAAAGATATCGAACAAGGCAACAATATTGGACCGCGTTTAGCTGAACAGAACCCAGCTCCATCAGCGATTGCCAGCTTTAACCGGGCAATTTAATTTTGTACTAGAGAACGTTAATACGGATTCCTCTGAAAATTTTAAGATTGTTTCGCACTAGGCAGAAAATGCACCGTTTGCCCAAAAATCCGCACAACCGTTTTCATGTAAAATATTGAATTTCTTACTTAAATTTTGCAATAGCTTACATGGCTTGCTTCCTCCCCGCTAAATGCGGTTTAATGTCTGTATATTATATATACGCGGGACACAATCTTAACAGTTTTGTAGGTATCTTGTGCCCTTTTGCCGAAAAATGCCTCAGCTGTTGACGCGCAATGTCAACGTAAGTTGGTATGTACGCGTGAGGATGGCCACCAGATTAGCAGAGTCATTTTCGCGATACCGATATACACCCTCCTCTGGTCCATCGGGATCTCTCTTTATCAACAGGTGGGAGCAGGACCCTGAGCGCCAACGCATCCTCATAGCGCACTCTCATCTCGTGCAGCGTGCATTCGTGTGCGCACGAATTTTATTTATTCGTGTTTTTAATCACGTTTCATCTGCGTTGCGTCATGCATCGCACTTAGGCTTCAGTTTTCGTCCTTCCGCGTCCATTAGGCGAATGCATTTTCAACGAGACGATGACAGATCGATCTGCAAGAATGCACAATCCACTTTTTCAATTTTAACTTAACATGCATTAATCGGAGCAGAAATGAACCGCGCTAAACAGAAAGGAACCAAGCCACATCAGCTATTGTCAGATTTATCTGGGCAATTAAATTTTTACTTGAAAAATGATGTGCGGCTTATTGTTCAAATTTCTGTAAATTTTTTGCATTGTGCGAAGAAAATGACTTAAAATTATCAAATGAATCCGCACAGGCGTTCTCTTGTAAAGAAATGATATTGCCTAGTTATATTTGGCAATAGCTAAAGTGGCTTCGTTACTTTTTGCTAAACGTGTCCAAATGGAGTTCTGGCGTTGGCACCATCAGTCCGAGAATGGAAATAACATAACAATAATCAAAAAAAAAAATTAGCCCGTAGACTTGTAATGTAATGTAATTTAATGTAATGTAAGGTAATGTAACATAACGTAACGTAACGTAACGTAACGTAATGTAGTGAACGTATCAGAAACTGTGGAGATTTTCTGTACCGTTGTATCCAAGAAACACGGCGCTCTTTTTCAATAATAAACACATGGAGAATTCCTCTTTATTGTAAACTTACACAGCCACAGTTGGTGACGATTCCGTCGCCTTACAATGGGCTGGTAGCATTTTTTCTTTAAAAAAAAAAAAAAAAAAAAAAAAAAAAAAAAAAAAAACTCACTTTCCGAAATCACGGAATGAACTGAGGACATTTTAGGATTTTTTTAGAAACCGCATTTTTTTTTAATTGTTTTATTTTTTCAATCATTTTCTGAAATACGGAGTGAACTGAGGACATTATAGGATTTTTCTAGATTTGTTTAACCCTTAATGGCAAAGGAACCCCTTTTTGACCCGTTTTTGACCTGCCTCTTCTTTGTCAGTCACAGCTTGAACTAATATCATTTCTTATATGTTCCAGGTCGGCCCTTCAAACTCTGCACAAAGTAAGCCAGAAAGCTAGAGAACAGAACTTTTTTCTCAATGGTGTGACTCATGAGTGGGTGTCATACTATGAGCAGAACATCCAGTCCGATAGATCTTGTCTTAATGAATGGCACGCAATGGACAATCTCGAGTCGAGGAGGCCACCTTCGCCTGATTCTCTTCGGCACAAGTATGATTTCATCATTGAAACTCCTTGTTTCATTAATACTTAAGTTATGGCAATATGATAAAAAGGGTGAGGTATTAGCCGACTAAAATAATATAGTATTCAATAATTGCTACTCAGGCTATGCTCGAATAAAAAAACAACGTGTGATATCTGTTAAGCCGGCTAATAGCTCAGCTTTTTTTATCGCATTATGAGTAGCCGAAGACCTAAAAATCTTGTTATGGCAATTTATCATACCATGAAGACCAATGAGGAGGGGGCATTTATTATTTTAAGGAGAGCTCTTGTATCTTAGATGTTTATCGGCAGTATTTTCCCATTGAATGGGTTCATCGCAAACTTTTGCTGTAACCAGTGACGTGACTTTGCGACATATCAATGATCTGCCATTTAAACCTATGGTGAAGGATCGACAAACAGGGTGTTTGCAACGAAAACCTTAATAATCGATTCTTTTCCATAGCTTCAAATGGGGAAATATCGATAATCGATCATTAACGCTTCGTCACTGTCTGCCGCGCCAAGGAAGAACGCCGTATGAGCATTTAAATGTTGTCAACGTTCCCCAGACAAAATATTTATCTGTAAGAAAAGTTCTGCATATTTTCCATGAATTTTCAAGATATTTTAGATTATAATGCGTACAAAATTGTCTAAAAAATTGAAAGAAAACATCCAGAATTTTTGCAGTAAATTCATTTTTTGTCGAGGGAAATGCAGGAATGTTTGAAGGCCTACACGACGTTTTTCTGTAGTACAGCAGAAATGATGAGTTGCCTCTTTGGGAAAATGGTTCAATAATTACAATGAGTCCAGTAGGAAAGTCTGAAAGTTACTCCTAGCCCGTGCATTTTTTAATTTCCCATTTAAGAAGTACACTTTGACGTACACATAATATGATACAAATGAATCATTCTAGTTTCAGCACCTACTTCAGGCAAAACCCAAAATGGCCACCAGTTTTTTAACCAAAAAGAAACAAACAACAACAACCATTTATTCGACATCCTCTCTTCCCTGATTTTCAAATTTTTCTATTAGTTAGGCGTATTTTTCTTGGTTATTTTTATTTGAGGATATGTTTCGCTGGACTGCGGCCATTTTTCACCTTTGCGTGGAGTTGTGAAGCTGGATGTCTCATCTGTTTCAAAATTACATGTGTAGTGTACATTTTGAAGCTAGAAGCTCAAATCAGTGCAAATGCCTGACGGAGATGGTAAAGTTAGCAGTGAATTTCTAACTTTCCTGTCAGGCTCATTGTGATTTGTAACCCCAATTCCCTAAAGATATAACTCATCTTTCCGTTCTGGCCGAAGTTTGCAGCAGACCATACCTTTTAATTAATAAATATCTCTCAGTAAATATTTTGATAAAAAAAGAAGCTGTAAATAACTTTGAGTGAAAAGCAATTCCCTGATACAGTTCAAGTCCTGACCTTAACATTTTGAGTCGTGGCTGCTTAGCACCTTTTTTACGATATTCACATATATTACTGTTAGTTATCAATTTTTCGAGAGTTTTTCTCTATGACCACGGCAAATGATTACACCGTATTTTTTAGACCTCCATCATGAAATTGACAACCTTTTTTTGATTTTGAAGATCAGAAACCGTATAATTTTCTCTCTATAGCTCTACGCCTTGCACTCTCCTTCTTAATTCTTTTGACTAATTTATATTTGGTATTTTCTCCACAGACCTAGGGAACGAGAGGAAACAGAAAGAGTTATTAGAAGTACATTGAAAGAAATCATGATGTCTGTCGATCTGGATGAAGTCACCTCAAAACATATCAGAACTCGATTAGAAGAACTCCTAGATATGGATCTTGGAGAATACAAGCCTTTTATCGATCAAGAAATGCTTGTTATTTTAGGTCAAATGGATGAAGCGACTGAAATTTTTCCTCATGTCTTCCTTGGCTCAGAATGGAATGCATCGAATTTAGAAGAACTCAATAAGAATGGGTAATGATTTTTCACCCTCAGAAAATCTTCATGAATCAAAACAATGATAGTGTTTATTAAAGTTTCTGTACTTATCAGTTCTTTCAGTTAAAATCGGTTTGTCTTTATTTTATCAGAGTTTCGAAAAAGGCACAAGCTATAATTGAATCAGTGAGTTCGAAAACACACCAACTCGGGGAAAAAAAATTGTTCAGGAAACACCTAAAACTGCGCAGCGGGCGAAGAAGATAGTTTAAAAAAAACCTTTTTGGTGCCAAAGGTCAGGTACTTCGAGACTTAGTAAAGCACCAAGTTGAAATCGATACACCATGTTTGATGACAAAGAATTAAGCGTTTAAAAATTTCTGAGTTGGTGTGTTTTTGTTCTCACCGACTTTCAGATACTGATTTTTCATAGTCTGCCTTGAAAAATTTATATTTTTTGACCTGAATAATGCTTGAATATTTATAGAACTTGTTGGTACAAGGTATACTGAACCGAAAAAAGAAAACCGCAAAATCGGATGGTCACCCACTTCCTTTGAAATGGCCAAAAATTGGTATTTCCAATGAAATACTTCGATTCTTCCCCTTTCCCGTCGCTGTTTCGAGCACTTCTGATTGCAATTTCGAAACTTCCTTTTGCATGCAGATGCATCTATCCATAAGTGTTACTAAACCGTAAAAAAGTGAAAATCGAAAAAGCTCGAGTTGGTGTGTTTTCGAACTCACTGATTCAATTGGGCTGCATTTTGCAATTTGGGACTATAAATTCTGACTCTTCTAGAAAAACACTTACGTGCATAAGGAAACTAATGACACATACGTTTTTTTTAAACCGGGCTAGAATCTATAGGTCCAAATTGCAAAATGTAGTCCAATTATAGGTAACCTTTAAATTCAATTTAGTTCCCTCAAAATAACGAATCTCTCATATATGTTCCAAAGTTAATCGGGGATAAGTGGAGCGGAATAGTAAGGTATTGCAAGAGTGAAACAGTGGAAAAGTCAGTAGTGCAATAGTCAGAAATCGACGGTGAAACTCTCAAAACATGTATCTCGTTTGCAGTGTTTGATTTTATTTTTCTAAAAAAGAGCAAATCAACTGCATTCCTTTCATAGAAGTTTTTTCATAATTTGCCTCATATAGAGAAAAAAAATCACGGAAATGTTTAAGAATTAACGTTGAGTAACCTTTCATTTAAAAAATGAAGTACTATAGAAAGTCTGCAAAGTTTTAAACTGAGAAGTCTGGTATCAGAGGTTCACCTTCAAATTGCATAATCTAGAGAGGGAAAGAGTCCAAATAAAATAAATTTCTGCATTCGTTCAATTACTTTACCCAAACAAGGATTATTGGTAGTATATAATAAATTTAATCCCCTCAAATTAACTGAAAATTTTTAGGGTGATCTGATATAAAGAATGATTTCACCAACAAACAACTCAATCACATACTAAATTTTTCTCCCAAGTGAAGGATTTCGTTTATCGGATATTTGATTATATTTACATTCTCAGTTTTAATTCTGCTTTTAAAGTCCGTGCACTCAGGATTTTGTTCAAAATCGAGAATTAATCGCATTATCTTATGTTTGTTTCAGTGTTTGTCACATTTTGAATGTTACAAGAGAAATAGATAATTTTTTCCCTGGAATGTTCCATTATTTGAATGTAAGAGTTTATGATGATGAGAAAACTGATCTCTTGAAACACTGGGATAACACTTTCAAATACATCACTAGTGCAAAGTAAGTAGTCTGATTCAAATGCTTTCGAACTCCTTGCTTTTTTGTAACTGATATTCCTATTTATAGTTTTCAAAACCAAAGTTCAGGCTACTACAGCATCTGATAAAAACAGTAATGGGTGCATGTCCTTCATTTCCTTATAAGTTAAAATTTTTCAACATAACTTGAGTTTGCACTAATAACACAAGTTATGAATAGAATACAATTTAAGATTTCCTCATGCAAGAATTACGATTTCTAAGATTCGATTCGGGAGTGAAGGAGAAATAAAGTTAAAGTAATGAATAAAAGTGTACCTATAAGGTTTTCAATGTTACTGTTTTAAACTATACCGTTCATCTATCAGGACTTCAGGAGTCTCAATATTTCCTATTGAAAATCAACTTACATGTACTAATTGAGAAACCATTTTGCAGTATTCAGGAGTCAGTTTACAGAACCTTAATTTTCCATGTTGCAACTGACAACCAGTTTTGCGTGTATTTTTATCAATCTGAGTATTCGCTCATTTGGTAATTTTTCTTTTCTTTTTTCCAGAAACGAAGGCTCAAAGGTTCTAGTCCATTGTAAAATGGGAGTTAGTAGATCTGCTAGCGTTGTTATTGCCTATGCAATGAAGGCCTACAATTGGGATTTCAAAAAAGCTCTGGACCACGTAAGACAAAAGCGTAACTGCATCAAGCCAAACTCTAATTTCATCGCACAACTTGAGACATATCAGGTAAATTTCTATCTCTACTTTTTAATAAAAGTTCTTTAATATTCTCAAGACAAACAACTTTTTAATAAGAGCTACATCAAACATTTGGTAATACATAGTATGCACTTTGGCTTTTCCTGATGTCTATTGCTCCTAGTTAAAGATTGCTTCCACAAGAGATGCTGTAATTGTGTTTTCTGCCAATCAGAAACTGTCAAAAAAAGTTCGAAATTTCTCGATTGTTGTGGGATAAGTCATAGACACATCATGATTTATGTAAATAATTTTGAATGATGAGATGGAAAAAAAAGCAGTAAACTTCCATTTATGGCACATATTTCTCCTAATGTTTTGGTATGGCATGTCATTAATTAATGTGTCAAATTGATAAGTTCTAACCTCGTACATGCAACCTGCAAGTCCTCCTGAACCCTCCCAACCATGAATTTTATCACAGCTGTGATCTTGATGTTTACGTAAATTGGAAACTAACCTCTCCAATTTGTGTTTACATGATGTCAAAGAGATTGAAAGAAACTTGCATGAAGGTCACCTTTAATTTCAGGGGCCGCTCATAAAATATGTAACACCCAAGGGGCAGGGGTGTTGAGAGGAGCATTCTTGCCATTTTATTTTTACTTGTCCTACATCACGAAAACATTATGATGGTGGGAAGGGATTCAAAAAATTTAGTGTTATGAATTCTATGAACGGTCCCCCCATCGTTCAAATTCTGTATTGATTGATGTTACATGATCCGGTTTTTGAAGCATCATCCATTGAGTTTAAAGTTCCGATTTCTTGTAGTGATGGCCGTTGCATTTGTTTTTTCCAGTAATTTTTGCAATTCTTTTCCCTTCTCCTCTGCACTGCACTCAGTGAGATTCTAAAATATTTGTTATAATTATTCCCAGGGTATGCTTGATGCAATGAAGAACAGAGAGAAGTTGCAGCGATCCAAATCAGAAACTAATCTCAAAGTAAAAAGTTGCAAAGCAGACGCAACGGATAGCCAAAGTGAAGGTGAACAAGAAGAAAGGCAAATCAACGTAGCAAATCCTATAAATAATAAAAGACTTAAGTTGCTTACAGCAGCGCCACTAGATGTGTCAGGAGCAGAACTCTCTCACCACAGTTTAAGACCAAAATCATGGTCTCCTGACAATATAACTGCATCCAACTTATTCGATTTACCAGGTAAGAATTACTAAAAAGTTCTTTATTCCACCTCCACTGACAGTAAGAAGTGTGCACCCAACTGTAATAATTTCCAGTATAACATAATTCTCCGGGGGAAAAAAATTATAAGGTAAAAATTCCTGTGCCTTGAATTTAATCTCAACTTGTTGCAGAAATGTTTAATTTTTCTCAGGTGTATTCGTTTATCTAAATTGCAGTATGGATTCCAACCATTTAGGAATTTATATTTTGAATCCTTACAGAATTGAACATGTGGCACCTGTGGTTTGAAGTGTTCCAATTGTGCTGGTTTTTTTGCCCCTATTTTGTTTCCGGCCCGTTATGTGCTATTTCGCAAGAACACGTCAGCAGTGAACATTTTAAAACAAATTTTTTTAAAAAAAATTCGCTTCCAAAACATGTCTAATCATTATTCTAAACTTATAATTTTCAATTTTTCCTATACAGGTGGATCTCATACATCACAATCCTTAGATAGACTATCTGTAGATTCTCCAACCACTGTGAAGAATGATCCAGTAGTGGATGATCCTCCACCTTCGGTTATTCCTCCAGCTCCCCCTCTTCCACCCATTGAGGCCCGGAGTTATCATAACATCAATGTTAGAATGCCTTGCGGAAATGGATTAGCATACAGTGTGTCTCAAAACAAAATTGTGCATTTACCACAACGGTAAGTTTTCTTTTTCTCGTATACATTTCATATAACAGGTTATCCTGTGAGAGATAATATGGGCGGAGTTAAAGTTGCAAGCGGGGCTCAGTGTTCGTGATTTAGTAAATAATGAAGTAGGTACTCTTTTTGGCTCATCAACAAAAGCATCAATCTGCGTAGAGAAACTAATGACACATACATCGTTTATAAAAATGTGCCAGATGTAGCAGTTCCTACTATGCATCCTACTACTAGCATACTAGCATGCATACTATGCATACTAGCATCCTACTATGTTTGTAACATTTACTGCCTAAAATTTAGCTCCAAAAAGGAAAAATAAAGGATCTAAAAAAAACTGAAAAACAAACATGGGATGAATTTAAGTTTTCCTGAAAAGCTCATGATGTTTTATCCTTGAAGACAATATTTCCTTTTTTGCCAGGTGGATCTTTTTCTTTTAGGTCGCATCATCCGTATCATTTCAATTTATTGCATACGTTAGCTCACTGAAAGAAAAGTTCGGTCTCATGAACTGAAGGTTTGGTGCTCTTTACTACCTAGCTATTTGATTTTAGTCGGCCGAACTTTCGGTCGGTGTAATCGACTGTTCGGATCATATGACCAAACTTCATTTGTCAGTTCACTCCACCGCCGAAGTTCGGTTACTTGATCGGAAAGTTCGGCTTGATAAATTGGTGATGACCATGATAGAAATTACAACAATGTGATACAGTAAGACAGGAGACCGATGTATTCTTTACTTGTAAAGTGAAAATGTTGAAGCAGTTTTTGTTTGACAGTTGAATTATCTACCCTCTCAAATACAATCGTAACAGTTCCGAATTCACTCACAGTAGACTTTTCTCTAACTTTCAATGTGTGAATGTTTGATTTCAGACAAGAAATGAATGTTGCCTCTGTGCGGCACCGAGTAAATGAATTAGAATCACAGACTGGAACAGGAAATGGATGGAGTGGCAAACAACCTATTGACAAGCGAGGACTTGTTTTGAATCTCACCTCACAATTTGAAAACAACAACTCATCTCCTGTTGAAACAAGCTCAGTTGCAAATCCTTCTTGTGTCAAGCGAGAGCCATGGGAATCAGAGCGATATCTAGAAACTAATTTTAATGCTATGAAAGAGAAGGAAAATTGTATAAATTCCAAACAAAGTAGTAGAAATTCTGTGCATGTAATTCGTTGCAAAGCAGGAGATATTAGTTCTGATCGAGTGGATTATGAAGAGCTGAAAGGTAAAAAGAAATGTGTTAAAAATACAGAAATAGGACGCCAAAATTCATGGAGCAGTTATGACAGCGCCGGAGGCCTTGGTTACCAGGGGGAAATTGCCCGACAGAATAGTTGGGGTAGTGGCGATAGTAAAGTTTCTCACAACAGCACTTGGGACCCTTATGATGTTTGCACCTCTTCACATTTAGGCAACGAATATAGTGAAAATAATGAGAATTTAGGCTTATCCAATTGCCCTTTGGCTTTCAGTTCAAGTCAGATACTTGGTCAAAGGTCTATAGTAACTGGTACTATTAAAAGAACAAGAATGAAATCAAGCAATGAAATAGAATCAGTAAATTCAAGTTATCCTGATAGTAATACGCAAGCTATGTGTTCAAAATCCACTGAGCATTATGCTAGCACTCCTTCTTTACCAAGTCTTGCTTTAGCCATTCCCGGTAACCCTTTAACTGCCTCGCAGCCAAACATTACCTCTGTGCGACAAGAATCAGCTTTCTTAGAAAATTTCAATCAGCCAACTACTCGGCGGTGCATTTCAGTCGAAGAGACAGTTCGATTAGACAATAGTGATAGCCAAACAGGCTTAGTTAAGAATTTAAAAAAAGAATTTGAAGCGAAATCAAATTTAAATGATGCCAACATCGATGCAAATTGTAAATATGGTAATTACAACAAGTCAAAAATGAATATAAACAATAATGAACGGGATACCAATCATAATAGTGAAAAAGGTCAAAGTCTTCCATCATCACCTGTTAGTGAGCGAGTAGAAAATAAATCTAGTCCTGCTGCCTGTTATCAAGATCTTTCGGTCAGAAAATTAGTCGGAAAGTATGAAGTAGCAAAAAACACTAAAGATAGGCCTAGATTCATATCAGAAAGTGACAAAAAGTTTTCGAACCAACCTCCTATACCTCCCAGCAGAAAATCCTCTCTAGACATCCATAACAATCCCTCTCATAATATCATGAAACATTCTACAACAGTTTTCAACAATTTAAAAAATAACTCAAAAGGTGCTCCCTCCGTAGTTGTCAAAGCTGCTCCAACTCCTAGCGTTGTTTCCAGTGTTACCAAAAAACAGCAGCAGGGTAAAACTCATCCTTTGGCAAGACTTACCTTAAAACAACGACACACAAATCCCATTTATAACAGTTTGTAATCCTAACTTGTTATAAGAAAAGTTTTTGTCAAATTTTAATTTGACGCTTTTTTTCTAACTATAACAACTCATTGCTTCTCCACAAAACTGTCAATGATTTTTTCCTCTCTGATTGATTTTTTTTTTCAAAGTTTTTCTCACTTATAAAAAACCATTGTGCCATTTTCATCATCCTTAGTCCAAGCAATAACAGTGTTGGAAATACTTAGTCTTCTTTCTGCCCAGCAGAATTAAAGAAGTAGAAGCCTCCTCTACATTCTCTTCATTTTTTGCAAGCAGAGATCTTAATTTTTCAATTTTATTCGTTGATATAATGTGAGGCAGGAATTTAAATTGTATTTAACCCCATATACCTATCTGTGTTATTCCCCCATCCACTTTTTTTCTTATTTTTTTGTATCTGTAACTGGAAGAACTGAACTTCAAGAATCTAGGAAATGAAAGTGAAACTAGCAACCGTGAATTTAAATCAAGATCAATGGTATCATGTGGAATGTTACCTTTCTAGTATCTTGTTATAGTTACCTTTAAGAACCGATTTTCTTCCTATAGATTTTCTTTTTTGTGCAAAATTAATTTAAATCAACGGATCATCACTTGCTGGAATTTATAATTATAGAATTGACATTAAAGACACATTTTAAGAGCAAAAGATTGAAACTTAAGGATATTCTTCAGGCATGTCACATATTTTGAAGTAAGGGTTTTTTATCATTTTTTATTTATTTTTACTGATCATGATGATTTCAGATCACTCAAATGAGCACAAGTAACCGTAAAAACCTGGCTCAAGAATGACATACTTCTTTTTTTACTTTCATTGGCGTTTTAAAAGGATTGAATTCAATTGACTTTTATTTAATAAAAATCATATTCATTGGTTATAAGAAGCATCTTTCATTTTATAAGTTTTGAGTACTGTTCTTTTGATTTTACCATCTCTTTTAGCTGTTTGGGGTTTATAAGTTCAATCCTCCTCTTTCTTCACCGATGACACAATGTACTTTTGATACTTGGACCATTTTAATTCATCGGTGGCAAGCTGTTCAAAATTGTGTACCAGTAGTTGGTTCCTTTAGATTGATCAAAAGTATAGCTCATTAAAGCGTTAAGTATAGCATCGAGTATAGCGTTAAAGATTGTCAGCACCCACAGTGTTTGCTCAATTTGTAGCAAGGTTTTCATGACCTCTTTGATGGTGAAAGTTAAAAGTTAGAACTCTATTCTGCTTTGATGATTGGACCAGTTAATCTTAAAATCATCCACAGTTGCTCTCATAAATGGTGGTGAATGTTATAGCAGCTTACAAGTATCTCTAAGAGAAAATTCTGCTTGAATGAGCTTAACTTTCATTAACGTTCATAAAAATATTCAGTCTTTTACTGAATTTAGTGCTTGATAGCAAAAACTCCCTCTCTCTATCCAGTACTTTTGTCCATCAAGGAATGTTATTTCGTTGTAAAGGTGTTAAATTTGGTTCCATAGGTAAGTTGTTGAGCCAAATTCGGGTAAAATTAAAGCTCTTGACATGAATTGAATAGGGTACCTTCTTTTGATAAGTCTCCACCCCCTTCCCCCAGTTAATCAATAAATTATCATCCTTCAAAGCTTGGTTCAATAGCGTGGTCTGTTTCCGGTGCGTCCAGATCTATACCTTCTACTTTTTGTCGGTAAATGAGCTCATCTGTGACTTTGAAGTTTTACAGAAAGACAGTTTCTCGTTTGGCTGCTTCATAATGGATATAGACAAAGCTTTGACTAAACCCAATTGCTATATTTCCGTTACGATATGAGATAACAAATATTGTTCATGCTTCATGGCCAGACCTCATAGAGCAAATAATCCACTGCTTACAGCCAACGGTGAATTTTCTTGTTTATCGAATTTTAAAGATATAAATAATAGTATGTCTTAACAATTTCCTTAAAATCTGCTCAAAATCTACCATATTCAGTGCTTCCAGCCGTTTTATCACTTCCTCCCTATTTTATAGTGACAAATAATCTTTTTAAAGAAGAACATCTATGTCTCTATTACAATTTATAAGCAAATTTCGGAAGGAACAAACATAAGTCATGAGAGAAAGAGTTTCTGTGCATAGTTTTAAGAATTACATGTACTCAATTGAGGTGAAAAAAGTAAAGTCCCTCAGGCATTTTTATCTTCATCTGTCTCATATATCCCTTCATTTTAATCCAGGCCTACATATCCACCATAAGGCGAGTATTTTTTTGTCTCTGCAAATTTAATGGTCAGTTCAAAGCTTAGAGCTTGGATACATGTATTTTAGCCAATTTTCATCTTTTTACATCAAAGAAACCTTTATTTGATTGGTGTCAATGCAACTTGCATGATTGAAAGAGAATTTAAAAAGAATATGTCGAAAGAATAGAAACAGAAGGAAATAATGTCTTGAAGGAAATGTGCTTGTACAAGTTTGACAAGAAAATTTTCTATTCTGAAATTTTTGATTACCCATGATCATTCATTTTCAACTAATATTACAAACTAAAATTGACTAAAATCTCTCTCTTACATCATGCAACGGTGAAACAAGAATGAAGAACCAAGTAAGGCAAAAATTATTGCAATTTTTTGCAAATCATAAGCTATGTTTCCTCATCAAAATCATGCAAGATAAGTTGATCATACTGAAAATTTCAAAAAAAAAAAAAAAAAAAAAAAAAAAAGGAGAAAAAAACTCGTGAGAGATCAAAATTTACTTTTGAAATTGAATTTCAACTCTGTTAACAGTGTCAATTCAAAATTCCTTTTCATGATTAAACCAAAATCAGCCTAAGTCCAATTGACGATTGAAATCTTACTTACAGCTCACAACAGTCGATAACTGAAGGTGGGTTTCACAAAAATCTCCTTCATCCTCTGTTAAGAAGTACTTGTTAACTTATCATAATAAAATCCAACTCGTGGAAGAAAATAAATTTATTGTGAAGCACATAAAAATGATTTTTGCACCAAATAAGTCTTAAGTTGACTTTGGAGTTCAGCATTTGGGAAATTTAAATTTATGAACATGAAAAAAACGAAAAGAAACTGATTTTCTTTACAAAAATTTGATGATGAGAAAGCGTCCTCTTTCATGCATGGTTTTGAACCTATTCTAGTCGTCTTTTACAAGGTTGATGTCTTTGTCTCATAAGTTTCATGATGTGAAGTTGTTGTGTTTTTCCTCGCCAAAAGCTCCCGTATTATTTAATGAGACCAAACTGGAGGTGTTTGTTTTTGAATATGCACCATAATCAGCTTTGAGGAACTTCTAGGAGCTCTCCAACTAGACGGAACCCTGCTGTCAATAAATTGCATATATTCATTCGATTTACCAAATTTTATCTTATAGAAATCTCATTTTGATTTTCATCATTTGTATTTTAAATACTCAGTCCACTGGACTTAATACATTTTTACTTTGGTATCATTGCCCTTTTGACTCTGCTCTCCTTGTTTAGTTCAATTATTTGCATCATTGACAGTTTTGTATCTATACAACGTTGTCTATCATTCATTTTTATATTTTTTAACTCACATATGTTCCTTTTCTACAATAAATTAGTATTTTTGTAAGTCATTAGTATTACGTCTCATGATCTTTGATATTTGTTTTACTTCATAAATTTCTGTGTAAATTAGTTGTACTTTAATTACAAAAAATGGAAAGCACCATCATGGATTCATGTAAAATTTTCTTTTTAAGTCTAAGAAAATTTTCAAAACAAAGAAAATCGCCATTAACTGGACTTATGTTATGAATAAATGAAAATTTAATTTCAACCATGACTTTTATAATTACTTTCTCATGCCTGCGTCGATCTTGTCGTTTACTTATTATCTTTTCACTCTCAGTGGCGAACACTATCTTTGATAAAGAACCTTATCATATTGCAAAATCTCCAAAGAAATTTTTTATGTAGAGATTGTTTTCAACAACAAAGTTTGGTTCATGTTGAATAACTATTTTGAAAGCAAGAAAATACAGGAATTTTCCTCCATTCTTTTGATTGAAGGCTGATTACTTTTAGAATTCCTGGTGATAATCCATAGCTAAATTACCAACCTTCTTTTGATCGCCAGATGAGGGGAGGGTATATTATTTTAGTTACATTAAATCAAATCAATTAATAGAAAAATTTAGCCAGCACCGAATTTTTTGGTATTTCGTGCGTAGTCCTTTCAGATGAAATTTTGTTCTTTGGGAAAATCGGACAATTTTGCCGATGCATGGTTGAGACAAGAACAAAATGTCTGTTCAATCAATCTTTAATTTCCAATGTAGGTACCTTAATACTAGCCTTCTACAAATATTCAAGGATCAGAGTCTTCCCCCTCCAGAAGAAACGGCGTCTTACATTTTTTGACATTTTAGAAATAACAAACCTACATTTGCCCCATTTCTTTTCTCAGAATTTTAAATGCTGATGAACATTGAAATGAGTCCTGATTACGATTTTTCTGAATACTCTGCTGGCATTCGTTCTCCTTTCAATACCGCAACTATATTTTTAGCAACCAGTATGCCCATGTCCTCCCTTGTCTTAACTGTTGCACTGCCAATATGGGGCATTATGACTGAAAAAGAAAAATAATATAGAATTGAGAATTATTTTGTGGTAATGAGTGAGGTGGTAGATATCCTCCATAGTTAATATGCTTTACTGTTAAAATAATGCAGGTAAGTACCTAAAATTTGCTAACTACCCTCACATACTGATTGATTTGAAGTTACAATGTGTTATTTTACCAGGCAGGGAAAGTGAAATTTCTTTTATTTTGCTGAGTTTTCATAAGAGGGAAGTTTCATATGGGAAGTTTAGGCTAAACTTCCCGCCAAGAATGAAAATTTGTAGTGCAATATATTTTATTTCGCATTTAAACTTAGTTCATGTTTTAGTTTATGTTGAGACGTTTTTCGAGATTCTCCCATAAAAAGACCATAACATACAACTCTATTGGTAACAATATTCATTAAAGAGCTAACATGTCTTTCAGCGTATATTATACGGTTGTTTTCAATTTGCCTTCAGCTGCGTTTGCAGCAATTCGACGGTGAAACTACCAAACCAAGTATCTCGGTTTGCGACAGCGCTGACTTCCTGTCATTCTTTATTTTTTAAATGAAAAACTACTCAACGTCCTGTATTGAAAATTTCTGTAATTTTTCCTTTTCATGCGGAGAAAATTCTGTGAAAATTTCGAGGAATGATATTGATTTGGTCTACTTCAAAAAAATGAAATGCGAGCGTAGATTTTTAAACACCGCAAACGAGATACGTGGTTTGGTAGTTTCACCGTCGAATTGCAGTTACGAATATGCTGTGCTGTGCGTGCTGATTTCAGTTCATTACATACTTGACTCTCTGAGGGCATTTCATGTGTGAAAGCAATTCGCCTTCATCTGCGTCTGCAGCAATTGTTGTTACGAATATGCATGCTGACTTAAACTCATTACATACTCGATTCTCTGAAGGCGTTTAATTTGCGGAAGTAGTGCACCCTGTTCGAGAACAGTAGAAGTGAGATTAAATGAATCGCTCAATCCCTACTTCGTTCGTTCTCCGACAGATGACGCTACTTTCGCACATAAAACGCCTTCGGAGAATCGAGTATGTAATGAGTTAAAGTCAGCACGCACAACATATTCATAACAACAATTGCTGCAGACGCAGATGAAGGCGAATTGCCTTCACAGCATAGAGAAAAAAAAGGCCTTCACAGATAAAACGTCTTCAGAGAGTCAAGTATGTAATGAACTGAAATCAACGGGCACAGCATATTCGTAACTACAATTGCTGCAGACGCGGCGGAAGGCGAATTGTTCTGTTAAAAAAAAATATGATAGGTAGTCTGCATGTAACGAGAGGGTATGTATTCGAGCGACATGAATCTAACGAAAATTAAAAACGTGAACCGATCAACACCGATTCAATGGACAAATAAATACAAAAGCTGTTCAAAATCAGTAGAAAACTCACATTTACTGTGAAAATTTCAAATTGCGATATCTCGAAATTACTAGATTAGCCGAGATTTTGATTGTTCGCCATTTTAAGACCACACGTACTCTAGACTCCCCCCCCCCCCGCAAACCGTTTTTGGGTACATTTTGGTCCCTTTTTTTCGCCTCGAGACAACAGCGAGGAGAGAGATTCAAAATAACGAGGAGAAAAATGATAGCAAGTATCTACAAGGAAAACTGCAGGAGACAAGAGAGCGATGGTCGAAGGCCGCGTAAGGGGTGGTTTTCTGTACGTATATTTGATGAACAATATGAATCATATCCATATGAGACGCAGAGTGCCACTGCTGAACGTGATTTTCTATACTTTTCACCAGAACAACCAATATTTAGAAAATCAGGATAATTTCATTGATAGTATAGGGGGAATGGCTTCCACCAGGCTCCTGTCGGTAGAACTCCCGTTCCAATTCCTAGAGCCAATTTTCTGCCGCCATTTTCTAAACCATCAGTAAACTTTTTTGAAAATAAATTCCAGTAGGTATTGTTTATTGAAATTAGGCCAGATTTTGGTGTGACGATCCGGCGCGTATTCTGTCAAAAATGACCACGTTGGTGAGCACAGAAAAATGAGAGGGTTCAGACATCAAGACATCGAAGTGATTATGGTCTCACTGAACTTTAATGATTCTGAAGTTGGAAACTTACCACAGTTATCTAACTTTTGAAGAGGGTGATCAACGGGTAGAGGCTCGGGTGTCATCACGTCCAAACCAGCCGCGCGGATCTTCCGATTTCGTAAAGCATCCACCAAAGCATCATGATTCACCAGCCCTGGAAATCCATCGGAGAGAGTTCGTAGAAAAAATATAGGAAGTTACAATTCTAGGTTGTGAGGTTTTAGATGTTTTAATTTTTAGGGTGGAAATGTTAACTTCCTTCTCTACCCGCTATCCCCCCCTTCCTTCGGCTGCGATAGGATTGCGCGAATGCCCCCTTTTTTCCCTTTATTTCCCCTTTTTACCATATTAGTGGTGTTTTATATGAACTCTTAATTAGTAGTGGCCATAACCAATAACACTGATATTTTTACCGGAGCAATCGTAATTTTACAAGTATGCGGTAGTAAAATTACCATTTAATAGTAAAAATATCTCTATTATTGGTTATGTAAATTACTAATTAAGAGTTCATATTGAACACCACTAATATGGTAATTATAACCATAATTTTTTTCTCAGTGTAGGATTGTGCGAATTTTTCTAGTACCGAAAACTCACATGTTTGCGCGAATATTCAATATTCAACGAGGGTACGTTAATATGGCAACCTTGGTAGTTTGTGGTAGATAACTACATCGCGGAAGACTGTTCATTCCCTCCTTAATGGAGCAGAAAGTCAAGAATGACGACACGCAGTCCTACGGCATTCCTACAGTCTTGTAGGCGCTAATATAATACGCAGAAATTACTGTATAAAACGCAGTTGGCACTGCGTTTGGCGCAATGCGAGAAGTATTCATGCAGTCTTGTAGGCGCTAATATGGGCTTGACGCCGAATGCACTGTTTGGCGCAATGCATGAAGTATTTCTAAAGTCTTGCAGGCGCTAATATACGTTTAACGCCGGAAACGCTGTGTTCGGCGCGATTATTCAAACTCGCGTTAGAATAGTAGAGCTTATAAGGCCCATGTTGGGTTGAAACGCAGTTATGAGCATTCCACCGTTGCCTCGTTTCTCCCGATTGAATATTTTTTCGAGGAAAGTTAGGAAAGTTCTTTATACCCATTATTCAATGTTATCACTTCATTTATCATCAGAAGGTGACTGGTCAACAGGCTTACCTAAACTAGCGTCAACATAAAAATGCGTTTATTTTCCAACTGTTTCCTGTTTTGCCAAACTTCTACCTTGAATTCGCGCATTCCTGTTGCAGATGTTACGGTTTCTATTTTCGCAATCCTTGTGCCTTTTTCGCGTAATCCTAATATATTTTCTTTGACCTTTCGCGCAATCCTGGATTACCGTTCCCTTCGGCGGCGTCAACTTGTCGCCTCATGATTCTATTCGGCTGTTTTCAGCTAATGACGGGGAATCCGTCGATGACGCCATCAGACACCCCTTGATGACGTCACAGTGTAATTTTTTGATGCTGCTTTTATATCTTTAGGAGGAATAATTTAACTAAATAATAAAAGGAACTCAAATCAACAATATAATGCAGAACAATTTGGTAACAAAAAGCTGAAATTCGAACCAAATCATGTCCGTGCAAATTTCGATTTCACAATCAACTTTCCAGTTGATTGTGAAATCGACAGACATTCGAGAAAATAATATAAAAAAAATAAAACATGGGGATGCCCGCGTAACCGTGGAAGTAGCTCGGAAGATCAGTCAATCCCTTTCTTCCATGCTCCAAACCTTATGGGACCAGAAAATCCCGTTGTGTAAAGATAGTAAACTAGAAAACGCCTTCACTTGAGGCGTGATACCTCAAGCGTTCCGGAGAGTTCAAATAGTTGTATACCTGCGCCTCAGCAAAGCGATGAAGCTTAATATTGAAGTAGCGTCCCTGCTTGGTTTTTCGGTTTCCCCGTGCCGCTACGGCAGTTTTAACCGTGAAGGCCGTAGTTTAAGGGCGCTGAAGCCAGGATTGTACTTGGCAATTTGAAAATTTTTGAAGAATAATTAAAAAATTAAGAAGCAGGAGTAATTTAATGGAATAATAAAAGCAAGTCAAATCAACAATATAATGCAAAACAATTTGGAAAATCTCGTCATGTAACACGGAAGATTCGAAAACGCCTTCAATTGAG